TGATTTCCGTTCAATAGTATTTTAACAAATTTAATAAAAAAAAAAATTAGGCTACTTTCAGAAGCCACCAAGGCTGGCTTTCTTATCAGAGCAGAGAAATCCATTCTCAGGATGACTCAATACATTGTCCATCTGTGTGTCTTTTTCAACATGTATTTAAGTCGGGCTGAGCCGACTCCCATCTGTCTTCATGCTATGGAACAGGCTGTCATACTCTTACTCATATCTCCTCTACCTACTACATGGATGGTTCTCTCTCTTTTGGTCATGTGGGCATCCCTCGAATCTCTAATTCCTTTGGGAAAGGCAAACATGCGATCCCTTCAGTGGTCAATGCGTGACCAATGGATCATGAACTGCAATTCACTGGATCATCCACTCTCCTCATTAAGGAGTAACATCTTAGATCTCGAGTGATGGTTGAATCGGAACAACACTACACTAGGTGTTCCTATATCACCACCTCTTCCTGAGATTCATCTCTTCACAGATGTCTCACTTCAGGGATGGGGTGCATATATTAACAGTCAGGAAATCCAGGTTCTACAGATGGGCGTCAAATCTTCTTTCCACTTCAATATTTTAGAACTTTTTGCTGTTCAATAGACAATGGTTCAAGTTCTATTGAAGGGAAAAATCATCATGATTCACTCTGGCAATTTCACGGTGGTATCTTACATTCCTGTAAAGAGGTCATGCATTCTCAGGACCTTTGTTTTTGAACTTTGGATATTCTTTACTGGGCTCACTCCCATCATATCAGCTTCCTAGCTTGACATATTCTGGGGGGTGATGATTTCAATAGCTGATCATCTGTCTTGGCCCAAATGAATTCTCCCAACCAAATTTTGGATACATTGCAAGGTTTTCCAGTGAATTTGCTCTCAGTTCGGGACTCTGATGATTGATGCATACGCCACTCATTGGAACTATCAACTATAGGAATTTTTGCCCACAGTACCTCACCCATGGGCTTTGGCAATAGATGCATGCAGTCAAGACTGGATGGGATTGCACCTCTATGTCTTTCCCCCAGTTTGTCTGTTACCCAGACTTCTGGCTATGGTTTGATCAACTCCTTATCAAGTGCTGTTGGTAGCCCAGGATTGGCTGACCCAACTATGGTTTCCTCTCCTTCAGTATCTTCAAGAGTGCCCACCTCTGCCACTTTCTCTTTCTTTGGTCATCTCTGCTGAGGCAACCTCAATCCGACATTCTACACCCAGATATTCTGAAGCTCAAACCTCATGCATGGAAGCTATGGTTCTATGCACAGCATTGGGGTTTATCTTCTAAAGTTGCCTTGTATTTGTCTCAATCTCTCCATAGACCCACAATGGTCATTTATCAATGGAAATGGCACACTTATTGCTGATGGTGTCTCACAAGGAAATTGAACCCATTTCACCTAAATGTGCCAACCATATCTCGTTTTTTGACCTGGCTTTTTGATAAAAGTCTAGTTCTGTCTACAATCACCTTATATAAGGCAGCGTTATCGACTACTTTTTGGTATTCTACACATCGGAAATTATTTGAGTCCCCAGTGCTATCTTTCCTTGTCAAACCATTTCATGTCCTTCATCTCAAAAGGCCATTTCAGTTACCTAACTTGAATATTAAGGTGGTATTACATGTTTTGTTTCGACATCCGTTCAAGCCTTTAGCCTTATGTACTATGTACATCTTTCCCTTAAAGTATATTTTTTTGTTGCTGCTGGCCTGTAGATGTCATAGGTTGGAGTTGTGTACACTGCATATGCACAGGACTCTCTCTCACTCTTCTTATGTCCTGGATAGGTCCTTCCTTCCTAAGATTCTGGCAGCCAGGGAAGGGGATACATCCTTCTCTCCAATTCATTTGCCAGCTATTTCTCACCTCTATGACTGCTCAGACCCTGATCATGTATTATGTCCCATCAGGGCCCTGAGGGTGTTTATGCAGCTTGCACTAAATTCTCTCGAGGTGCTAGAAATTGACTTTTTATTCATTGGGATTCTTCAATTTCCCATGATTTATCCCCAAGTACCTTGATGAGGTGGTTCACAGAGTGATCCATGTTGATTATTCTGGACTATCTTTACAGGTGAGGAAACACATCTCATCAGATTTGTCACATTTCTATATATTTTGCTGTCCAATTGAATTGCCTGTTGGAGGACATTCTGTGGGTTGGTATGTAGACTTTTCCCAATACTTTTCTCTCACATTACTTACACAATCTGGCAGTTTTTTCTTCTAAGGGTTTTCTCCTACCCCTATGGCCATTTTGACCACATCTGCTAGATTATAAGGAGGGGTAAGTAATTTGTTACTTCTCTTGTCTCTTTAGTTTCCAGGGTCCTCTTTTTCACTGGATCCCACTCTGTGGCTAGTGTTGCCCAGGCAGGTGTGTTTTTATCAATCCAATTCCACACTAGCAACCACTACTTCACTATACTTACTACTGGTTGTAAAATGCTCTGTAGAAATGAGGTGTTCCATAAGGTCACCTAAGAGCTCAGCAGGAGGTATTACCATATTATGTTGGACTACTACACATGGATTATCATGAGTAAAGCTAAAGGGGATCCTGCTCATCCCTGCCAATCATCAGATTGAATAAATCAGGATTGGTTTGCTTTTAAAAATTTAGGGAACTTGGTTCACCTATTGCACTGTTTCTCTGGACTCCCCAATGTGCGTTAACCCCCAGATTCTACTAGTGGAGCTAGGTAGTGCTTACCACACCCAGTTTCCAGTCACTGAGGTGATAGACAGAGGCTTTTCCTTTAGAGTGTTAAAGTGAATTCCTCCACTCTTGGATAAGAGGGCAAAGATGGGGGCCCTCCTACCCAGGTTCCTGGATGTTTTTTCCCAGATTAGGTAGGAGCACCACCAGCTTATGCAAGAGAATACTCGGAATACTAATTCAGATTTGATGATCGACTATCCAGTGTGCACTGGCTCCCCCCCCCCTTCCCAATGTGGGATTCTAGCTATAAGTGTCAGTGGAGATAAGTATGTTTTGGGAGTTAACATTTTCTAAAATGAAAATGTAGTTTCAGTAATACTTACCTCCTCTGACACTCTCCTGCCCTCCTTCCCCACTAAAACCCAGTGTTATAGACTGAGATGGAATATGTCTCGAAAAATTGATAACATTATCTGAATGAGGTGCTTATATACTATATCAGGATAGAGGGTGCATTGACAAAGGAGCAGAAAAATGTATTATTGAAAATACATTTTCAATTTAGAAGATTGTTAACCTCATATAGTACTCCTCATTTAATAGTATAAGGCATGAATAACCTTAAATTACTGTATAGGAGATATGCTAGATCACATTAATGAAGTGTATATGCCTTAAATTTCTTCAGAACAAGCTTGTCATGATATAAAAGACTGTTTAGTTACAGATGTTATTGATTAATTTATTTTTGTGAGTGAATATTTTATTATTGTTTAGTTTTTGTTATAATAAGAGTTAAAAGCAGACAATTGTAGGAAGTTGTGTTTATAAGTCATTGATGCTGAGACTATCGAACGTCGTGTACAATACATTGAGGTCGAGAATATAGAGATTTCTAGAAGCTGAACAGACGATTAAGTGATAAACATATAAATAGTATGAGGTGAGAGGAAACAGCAGACAGACAATAGCAGAAGAGAGTAAAGTTACAGGCAAGGAAAAGTTTGGCATGAAGGTAACTACCGTAGAAGTGATAGGCCTAACGTTTAATATGTTCGAGTAAGACTAACAGTAGAAAAGGAGATAAGAAGAATTATTCTGTCAAAGTGTGGTTCTGAAGGAATTGAATTGGTCTGAGTTCAGTTTGACAAAAGGAACAGAGGATATTTTGAATAATAAAGACCAAACGATTATTGTAATTCGTGTCACAATTGTAAGTGAATCACACACAGAATACTAGTGCGATAGTAATAGAGAAGATAGTTTGGCTTGTCAACTGAAATTTTAAAGCAATTGAATAGGCCTAAGTGGACTTTTGACAAGAGGAAGAGAACTATATATATAAATAATGTTTATAATATGCCTATAATCTCTATAGTGTGAAGAATTTGTTGTACATACATTTAACTTGTTCCGAATATATATATATATATTATTTTCAAAACAAGTGAAGTGCGTGCTGTTCATTTATTGTTGAATTTATTTCCAACAAGTCACAGACACCTACTGTAGAAAAATCCTAAGCCAAACAACAACATAGTGTATATTTATACTATTAAGAAATATATGTCAAAGCCTTTTATTTTGACAATTGGCAAAATAATTATATTTTAAATTTTGACAAACCTCTCTTTAGAAATGGTGTTTATGGAAGTAGATAATTTAGTTTCTGAGTGCATATCATAGTATTTGAAAAAAAGACTCAGTCTTTAAATCAAGGACAATGATTCATTTGGTAAGCTGTTCCAAAAACTCATCATTTTTTCATCTCTCATCTAGAAGAAGTCATTATCTGGGACTTGGATTATGATCATTCTCTTTAGTTTGAGCAGTGCTTTTTCATAGATTGATAAATCCTGGAGGATAAAATCTCTTTGGACCAATGTTGCAAGGCAAAGCAGTACAATGTAACCCCATCACGTTTTTGTTCTTCCTAGATTTCAGAAATTGAAAGCTTTGGGCATGCTCACAACACAAACATAGAATGCTATGTGATAACAACTTTTTATGTTGGTTGCATTGTTTGCTCTACAGTATCAAGTGATCATGTGACATTATTTTCTTCCATGATTTTGCATATTTTATCAACTTTGTATCATACCAAAAAATATTGTAATTTCATGGTAATTAAGTAATGATTTAAGACTAACTTGTTTTTTTACTTGAAAGTCACAAAAACATAATCCCTTAACTGTTAAGATATACTGGTGATGAATGCGATATTTCACAAAGTAATTTTACATTGAACAGATCTTATATTAGATATATAATGCACAGATAACATCTGAGTCATAACTAAAGCTCCATCTTGTTTTCTTTTTATAGGACTTAAAGCCTAATAACTTGTTAATAGATAGGAAAGGAGTATTAAAATTGGGTGATTTTGGTCTTGCAAAATTTTTTGGATCACCAAACAGAGTGTACACTCACCAAGTTGTAACCAGGTAAGTACAACATGGAATTAAAGATACATTAATTTTCTTAATGAAAGTAACTTTTGTGATAAATTAAATCAACTTTTTATACAAATATAATTTTATTAAAAGAAATTTAGGTTTTACTTTACTAACTATTAACTTAAGTGTAGTTTTTTTTTTCATTATCAGAAAACTCAGAAAATAGTGATTCGCTTCAAATATCCCCAAAACACATTTTTTATTGGCACATCCATGAACGTTTTTCACACTTACAGATTTAGGTTTGAAATAGGGCATGCCAGACCTGAACATGTGGTAATTATATTGGGATCAGGGAGAATGACTCCCAGAATATGTAGCATTTATAAACTTCAAATGAAGTAATTCTTAAGATATACAATATGGTAAAACATACAATATACAATGTGGTACATGTAGTGAATGACAACCTTAAAATGATTAACAAGTGTTAACCTGCCCTAGTCAGGTGTAGATACTGGGGGGAGGGTTGACGCCCTCCTGGTTTCTCTATCGTGGATAGATTTCAAAGTGTTAGTTTTCCTAATTCTTTTATCAGAATTATTGCATATTTTGCTTTAGGTTCATGTTGACATTACTGTTAGGTTGCTGAAAATTAGAGAAAATAAGTATGCTAAATCAGTACTATAAATATGAGAGCTACAGGAAAACATCAGTTATCTTTACATGAAATCTTGCTGGCATTTATCATTTCAATATCATTGCTACAGAATTATTAGATTTTATGGTTAAAGAAACCATAGCTCTTCATGAGAAATTTACCACAAGAAAGCTACTGCTAATTCTGAAAGGTTGTATAGAATTAAAATAACATAAATTATAGTAAGATTAATAAGTTTCTTGGGAAGAGTAAAAATGTTTACATGTTTATTTTCTACAGGTGGTATAGATCTCCAGAGCTTCTTTTTGGTGCTAGGATATATGGAATTGGAGTAGATATGTGGGCAGTAGGATGCATTCTTGCTGAGCTATTACTTCGAGTAAGATTTCATGACAAACTAGTTTTTTGTCTCTTTTAATATATATATGAAATTATCTAATTCAGTAAAACTGAGTTTTAACTTTACATAAGCCTAACATTGAGAAGGTTTTTTCGAATCGTAGATTGTTCTCGATTTCAGTCAGACATGTCCAGGCTATTTACAACAGTTGGATGAGTTTGTTGTTTCATAAATCTTGTGAAAAAATTCATTATTTTTACAGCTTATGAAATAAAATTATGCAACCATATAAAATTGTGTTATGAAGTATTGTAAGCTTGTTTTTGTCTTATGTATGCTTTTAAAGCAGAAAAAATAAGCAAGCAATAAGAAAAGGTATATTTTTAATTGATCAGCAACTGAAAATCAGTGTTCATTTCATATAATTACCTATGAATAATCTAAAATATACATAATTAATTTTTATTAAAAGTGATTTGATCATGAATCGGGGAACCTCTCATGTAGTGCTCTCTGTTGATAGCTGGTCAGCATCCTCCAGTCCCCCAGTGGCACAGTAGTATGTCTGCGGACTTGCATCACTAGAAACCAGGTTTTCGATACCCGTGGTGGGCAGAGCACGGGTAGCCCATTGTGTAGCTTTGTGCTTAACTTCAATCAAACAAACAAACAAGGATCCTCTAAGAAGCAGTTTATTTGTTCTAAGGATAATTATGTCAAAATGACCTTAGACCAGTAAAATATAGATATTTATTATCAAATGAGAAAACAGCAGCAACTGTCTGTTAAGAAAAGTTACTGCCAGGGCTGGCATTTTGGTGTAATATTGAAATTCATTGATTGTGAAAATCAGAAAATGGCTGCAAATGTCAGGTTATAAACTTGAACAGCATATGTGAGAATAATATATTTTCCTTCATTTGTTTATAGTATATAAATTTATGTAATACAATTATAAAAGTACATTTCAATTTTTTTTTTGATGCTATGTTTTTGGAAAAAAAAATATATATATAAAATTATCGAAATCACAAAAGCATTCATAAATAGTGATAACTTGGATAAATATGTATTTCTGTATATTTTGATGCAAAAACACAAACCTAAAAATACATAGGACAGAGACCTTATTTTCTAAGAAGTAAAACAGATGCAGAGTATAAAAGATAGACATGATCTTGTCTTAGGTACCTTTTTTTCCTGGTGAATCAGATCTGGACCAACTCAACAAGATTTTTCAAGCTCTTGGAACACCTAATGAAAATAACTGGCCTGTGAGTATTGTTTTTAAACCACATTTGAATTATTTCTTTAGTGGCCTTTTCAAGAGAACTCGTACTGGAAAATTAGTCTTACTATGTGGTTTTCACAAATTTCAAAAAATCACACTTTATCAAATATTAGGCTTTTAAGACAAAATGAAGCTCTTATTTGTTGATATATCAAATGGTGAAGCTGTAAATGACCAAATTAAAAATAAGTACCCAATAACACAGACTTTAGTTGTGCAAAGTTTATATAGAACATGTTATAGGTAATATACCTGCTAGCACAGATAGCCCTCGTGTAGCATATGTACTATTTTTACCGACCTTGCAACCATCAGATAACCATGGAAGTATACATATTATAACAATGTAGTGTGTGTATCTTTGCAAAATTTGTAAGCTTTTACTAAACATTACAAATCTTTTGTATATAAAAAATTCAGCTTTTATAATTAAGTGATTTTACTAAAGATTTGTCTGTCAGTATATGGAACTCAGACTCTGATTAGTTTGGGTGCAAGGTGATTTTTATGTTAAGATTAAAAATACTTTTTTTTTAATCTCACAGTCTTCACATTTCATTGGAATAACCTCTAAGACCTTCTAAATGGATATCAACAGTTTTTTTTCAGTAAGACTTTATCTTTTAATATTATTTTCTCTATGCTAATGATATTTGTATTTGGTTGATTTCATTGACCTTGTAACCACCACAAATAAAATGCAAAATGTATCTAAATTACCCCTTTTTCTTTCTCAAATGACTGCAATTTGTAACAGAAAATTACAGTAGTTTATCATAAACATCTTAAGGCCCACAATAGTTTACATTTGTTTTCATTTAATCTTATTTTTTATTGCTCTTTGAACCATGTCTACCTAATAATCCCATGATACAAAATATAAATTACATGACAAATGCATAGCTCAAACTACAGTATTGAAAGAATACAACTCATGAGCTACTCACAAGCATACAATGTAGATAAATATTTTTATTATTTTTTGTCATCATCTAACTTAATAAATTTATAATTTTTGCATTTTAGTTATTTTTATAACAATAAATAAAAAATATATATAAATCAACAAGAAATTTAGTACTTACATTTGGCCTCTCAGCTTAAGTCTACTTTTTTATGATGGTACTAGTATATCAGATAATTTTTATTTATTTCAAATATGCATTTCAGAATACAAAATAATAACATCCATAAAGCAAACAGTGTTCAATAACTATTATAATTTAAATGGTTTTCTAACATAAACATAAGTGTCTTAAAATACTTCCCCTAGCTGTTCGATATGAACTCTGGAATAGCAATTTTCAGTCTATAGACGAAATAACTAAAATTCTTTACAGAGAATGAGGTAGCATTATGTGTCATTTGGAAAGTAAAACTTTGTTTTTCTATTGGTTATAAATGATGTAATAACAAACATTATGGAGAATCATTGGCAATTGGTGAAAGAGAGGATGTGATAGGAGTGGGTGGCAAGTGGGTTTAACTTTCTGGTTTATATCTCTGTAAACAGAGTAGTTTCTACAGAAATTAGACTATGTTGTAGTAACATCTGTAATATAATGAGTAAGTTATGTTAAATTCAAGGTGAATGTTACATTACACAGACAAGGGGAGATTGAGAATTTATTTAAATATTTCCTTTTGAAATTTAGAAATTAAAACTTGTGTAAAAATAAAATTTTATTAATTCACTGTGTTTTGATGCCAAGTTTATTTATATACATTGAAAATGAATCAATTAAATTTTAAATGTAACTCCATAAAAAGTTTTGACATGCATTTTTACCTACTCTTATCAAGAGAATGATTGTCTTTTGGTAAGTACATATACTATTTGGATGTTAATTTGTTTAATGAGACATCCATATAGTCGAATCTATTACAATGGACACTATTAATAGCATGAGTTATCAATCAATAAATATAAGGGTGTAAACAAGTAAGGATAGTTGTGTAACTGTATGTACAATAAACTTATCAGCTTATTATTCTATACATCATCAATAGTTATAAAAATTGTTTAATCAAAGTGGGACTTCGTTATCTTCACATAACACATCATTTTCTTCAAACCAACAACTTACAGAATACATAATATTGGTTAAAAATACAACAAACACATTTCAAAAGAGGATATAATCACAGTCTGGTTTGGAACTCTGTTTTTTTTCTTTTGAAGCTTCTTAGCAGCTTTAAGCAACTAACATATATGTAATTATCTTCATAAAAATCACTTTTTTTTTAACCATGTGATGACATCTTTATTCAAATTCACTCTCTTCACATATGTGAAGAGGCTTGATGGAAATTTTCATTTTACTGTTCTTGACCATTTGGTTTTGCTCAGTAGATGATGAGTTACTGACAAAGCTTCATTACTACCTGCAGCAATTGTCAGTTGCTGCTTCACCTTCCAACTTTGTTTTCATTATTCCAAAATATCTTTTGAAATATTGTAGCCAGACTTTTACACCAAGCTATTGTCCTAGTTCAATAGCTTTATCAATAAGCATTTTGTCATTAACACGTGCATTTCTTAACATCACACATCCAAAGATACAAGGTCTGCTCCATATGTGTGTGCTTTGAATGAGTTGCCTTTGTTTGCTGACCTGAATCTTCTGGAATATTTACTTACTTTTGTTTTCTGCAAAAATGTTAGATATGGTTGACTTGTCCATTTCTTTCTACACTGAAATGCCTACTGATGGTATTAAGACTTGCACTTGGATATGCTTTCTTGTATAAATAAACATCATGTTTTAATGATGCTGATCTTTCTATGCATCTTTGTTTAGGAAGACTGTGAGTTCACATGACTGTAGCATAAATTAGTCTCATGACCTCCTGATATCTGTTATAGTTTGTATGTACCTCCCTACTGTGAAAGTCATTCTCAGAAAAACTGTTGAAAATGTATACTTACAAGTTTGTGCTGGTATTTTTTGGTCAGTAATTATTATTTCATTTTCTGTTCTGATAGACTCCTACTTGATTTGCTGAGTCATGAACTAATTACCGAATCATGTATCTATAGGAAATCAGGCCAAGAAATTCATCATTTTTAGGGCAAGGCCATTTGGCCTGGATTTTCTCTCATTTTCAAGGGCACCAAGGCCAAAAAAAATTCACTGGGGGGGGGGCACTAAGGCCACAGTAAAAATTAATGTTAACAAAATAGAAATGAGTTTCCCAATTAGTATAGTAAATATAGCATTATTTTGTTTTCATTGAGAGATTGGGAAGCTGAAATATCCTTCCATATTATGTTTATCAGATATTAACTTTAATCAATGAGACCTATGAAGTAACAGCACATCAGCTTTAAGATTTAAAAAAGAGGTGTCATGCTGATCTAAAATGCCTTGTTACGGTAATAGAATTCCTAATTTATGCCCCCTCCTTACCCCAAATGACATTTGACCTGAAAATTGTATATAACTTTTAGGCACCTCTTTCCACTTATTAATTTGTCTAGCTTTGAGAAGGATCAAACAAAATCCCTGGGAGGAGAAGCACTTTAAAGGTTTCTAGGATTTGACCTCTGGTGATCTTACAAATCATAAACAAATTTCAGGCATCTCTATCCACTTACTAATTTATCCGACTTTGATAAAGATCAGATTTACACATAAAGAGAACAAGTGCTTTATAAGATTTCTAGCTTTTGTCCTTTCCTGACCCCAAATGACCTTCAACCTAAGAATTCTATACAACTTTTATGCACCTCTATTCATTTATTACATTGTCTAACTTTGAGAATGATCAGACAAAATCCCTGTGAGGAGGAGGAGAAGTTTAAAGGCTTAATTTCTACCAACAAAATTCAACCCCAACATGTCTGACTACTTGACCAAGATTGACGAAAATCAGTTACATGGTCTCCAAACAGCAGCCCTTTGCAAATCTTGATGGACAGACAAAGAGATAGAAAGACACATTGTTATGACATAAAATCAACATTCTATTTCCAAACAATACTGCTACTAGTATTTTCTTGCATAATTTCTAGCATAGGCTATTGCTGATAAACAGTAAACTAGGCCTACACTACATTATAACACATGGTCATAACCTATAAATCATGCGTCATCACACATTGCATCATGCAACTTGCTACTTGTAATTCAATAATGTTATCCCTAGCTAGCTAATGTAGTAGGTGGGTTTGTACATAAAATTTATCGAGCCAAATTATTGACATAACCTATTTCCCTTCATCTTCTAAAAAATCAGGATGTAATCTACATATTTACTGCTGAAAAAAAAGTCCCGATTTCTAAGACTTGGCTGCCACAGAAAAAAGTTTCATAGCACTCTCCTTCTTAACTCATTCCTTTTTCAGCATGTGTAATACAAAGAGTATTTGCAGTCATACACTTGCTACTACTACTAAGAGTCTGCGGTATAGTATGACTCAACAAACTGCATGAATGTTTTACTGTCGATCAAAGTGAAAAATTCACTCCCTCCACTACATTAATTTTATGTGATATATTATTTGTAACGAGGTAGTTTCTGTAGGTTGTAAGTCCAGTGTTTGTGATCCCCAATGGTTTTCCTTTTACTGCAGTATATAATACAAATTTAGATCATGAACGCATGACAGCCAAAGGGATACCAAAGGGTGGCCATCGTGGTCAAGGATTTTAGTGATTTTCTAAGGGCAATATGGCCATTTTGAAAAATATGGCGGCAATTGTCGCCATGACTGCCATGAATATCCTGTCCTGGGAAATTCATTTTTATTATAAGAAATAGCTGTTTGGATTCAGAATATAAATATACGAACTATTGAATAAATTTCATGTTTTGAAGATATGTTTCTGTGAAAAATCATATGAGTTATCAATGTTTGGCAAAAGAGGGTTCACTATATATTATATTGATGTTACTTTAATTAATGTATCTCCTGTTCAATACATATACCATATGTTTTTACTTTGATTAACATGTCTCCTGTTTGGTACATATACTGTA